AGTGGAATCAGGACCTATCGCTGCTGCATGAGCAAGCTTTTTGGAGCCCAGTACCTGTGGTAGGATATGTTACACAGCCTTGGTTCAGGGGAAGGGGCTTGGACCTGCCTCAACTGAATGTACCAGACTCTGCTGACACCCCATGGGAGGGCTTGCCTTGGAGGAGGTGGGAATAGAAAGTGGTTTTTGGGGGAAGACTGGGGGCCAAGAGGAAGGAGGAGAGGGGGATCTGTGGTTGGTATGTAAAATGAATGGAAAATTTCTTAATAATAAAAAAGAAAAAAAAACAAAATTCAATTGTCAATATTACCACATATGTCTCTAAATGCCACAAGCATAAGAAGTTGTTAAATTTATATTGATGAATTCAAATTTCATAAATAACAATGTTCCCTTGAGGGCTTGGATTTTGATCACTGTTGTGGCTCATTAGAAAGGGGATTGGTCAGATATGGATTGATTCACATTGTATACTAGAGGAGAAAGAGAATATGTTCACTAAGTATTTTCCAAATGAGTGCAGCATGGGCAGGAAGAAGAAGAACCACCAGCTGTTCACGACAGTGGCCGCATGGTCTCTATTTTGCACAAGTATTTGTTTTTAGGGAGTTTCTTTGTGTACAGTTTCCTGACATGCTATTCAGTCCCCGTGGAGTCCAGATCCTAATGTGCCCGAATTTCTGGAAGGTGAGCATGAACCTCAGTCCATATCATTCCAGGTATAAGCAATTCTAATTTTCTGTAACTGATTATTTAAATGGAGTGGGATCCGTAAAATTTAGGCTCGAAATGCTTATAACACAGTTTAACCCATATTTTAACAAAAAAAATTTCTAAGAATTTATAAACAAAAGTCTTACACTATAACAGGACATGTTAGTTACAGGCCTTTACTCCCAGCACTTCAAAGAAGAAGCATAAAATCAGGAGATCAAGAGCACCCTAAGTTACGTGAGACCCTGTCTAAATATAACAATAACCACAAAAAAAGTGCACACAGTAACTGTACACTTTCTACCTCTGAATGTCACTTGCTAAATTCCTGACAATGTTTACAGACTTGGATAAGCAGACACACTTTAAACCTACTCTGAAGATTTGTGTGTCATGGAGCACACCTGTAATGCCAGCACTTAGAAGTTAGGAGTGGGAAAATGCAGAGTTCAAGGATAAGAAACCCATGATGGAGGAGGACACACAGGCACAGACAGAGAGAATCTCCAGGGAATGAACTGGGGAAAGTCGGGTAACTGAGAAGAGGTGAGTGATGACCAGAAAGCTCTAGTTTATTAGCAAAGTAAAAAAGGAGAATTAAAGAGAAAAAGTAGAAGGAAGTCATCTTTCCACAAATTTAAACCTAAACCTCATGTCCAGATCCTAGAGATGAAATAGAGACTCAGAGTGAGTCACTGGACCTATTTGCTTCTCTTCCCACTGTGGCCACATTTAATAAACATCCTTTCTCTAATTTTCACTGTATGTGTGACATTACTTGCCTCATTGTATTGGCCAATCGCACCTTATTACAGCTGTCAGAAAACAGGCTTTGACTCTAAAATGTCTCATGACAAGAGTATGGAGATTCCTTAGTCAAAAGTCAATGGGCCTTGGAGAACAATGAAAGAAACACCTCTGTTGTCAGAAACAGGGACACCTGGGGAGAATCACATCAGACTCATGCTCAGCATTGAAGACAGGTCTTATTCCCTGTAGATACAGGAAACAAAAATAGATGAGTCTGGGATGCCCACTTCCTCAGAATAGAGGACAACAGGACATACAGCAACAGTCCTCTAGAATCTACAGGGAACACTTTCCAAATTCAGGAGCAGCTGTCAGAAGTAGTGAGTGATGACCAGACATCTCTAAAAATATCAGCAACTTAAAGAGGGAAATTTTGCAAACCAGAACAAGGAACATCCTGAGTTCCTATAATATGATTAGGGTGTTTATAGTGGATGTCTGCCCTGTGAGAAAGAGTTCCCAGAGCCCTGTTTATGTCAGGCCTAGAATATTTCCATAGTTCTAAAGGGGGTTGGATAGATGGCCCAGTAATTAAAAGCATTGGCCACCCTTCCATGAAAACAGGTTCAATTCCCAGCACCCAATAATGCACTCACAACCATCTCTCCCCAGTCACAGGGTAACCAAAGACCGTTTCTGGTCACCCCAGCCACTGAGCATGAGCATGGTGCACAGAAATACATGCATAGAAATGTGTCATACACAAATAAAAAATAGCCAGGTGGTGGTGGCTCATGAATTTAACCCCAGCTTTCAGGAGGCAGAAGCAAACAACTTCTAAATTCTAGGTGAGAGCTGCAAGAGGCCAGCTTCAGAGTTAAGAGCAGATAAACAGCATAGCTGGAGGGAGTCCAGACTGGTCCTTATCCACTTTATAACTCGATCTCAGGATGATGCTTCTCCAGAATTTCCAAAGGGAGTGACAAAGACCTGGTGGACTGAGTCATGGAAAGATTAACTACTGTGAGAAGAATCTCTAGAGCCCTGCTTCCCCACTCAGACCCAGCTCTAGGGCCTGGTATCCTGGGAGCAGTGTCTGGGGAATAGTTGCTTACTGTGATCTCTGTACTGGTCCTGTTCACAACATCCTTCTGAGTCCTAGCCCAGATGCTGATGGAGCTGACAGAATCAAGGAAGGAAAGTAAAGTAAAGGGCTATGTACCTCACTGAAGTGTCCATCTCTGGGCCCTGATTATGGGTTTTCATTGCCTCAATGTTGTGTCACAGTTTTTTATTGGCCAGCTGAGGGCACCTGCACTAAGCCTTGGCTTCCTGGTGATCAGAGATCACAGGGATATGAGGGAGGATGAAGGAATTTACGATGGTATTACATCCAGTGTCTAGACTGTCAATGTGGTTAGTTTTACAGAGAATGCTGCTGATTTCATCTACACCATTCCTCTTGCTCTGTCCTCTGTGACCATCGCTGTAGATAGGTGTTAACATAGGATTCCCTTACTTCATTTTGAAAGGTTTCCAGTTTCATTGAAAGAGATTGGATGCTCTGAAATCCTGTGCTTATGCTTTGGTGACTACTATGAAATGCTCTAGAGACTTAAGCAGTTTGTCAACTGGTGTTACCCAATTTGTATATTTCACATAACTTTCCTTACATAAACCTACTTCCTGTCTCAAATTCAAATCTTAGTTGATATTTCTGTAGAATGGCATTAGCATAATACACCTTTGTCCATCCCTTATGCAAATTAACTTTTAATTCATTCATTTATTTAACAGTTATTTATGACTTCCTTTGGAGACAGGGTCTCAGTATGTAGCTCTGGTTGATTTTGAACTTGCAAATCTCCTGTTTGCAGAGCCTCCTCTGTGCTAGTATTACTGACATATTGTAGCTCCCAGGGCTGTCAGAAACCAGGCGTGGACTCTAACAAACTTGGTGAGAATACCACAGACATCCATGCTTGGACAATGGCAGAAACACTCCATACCTGTGTCAGTGAATGTCAATAACAGAAGACAAAGACACCAGATGCAATCACAGAACTGAGAACTAATGTAATCCCTGTACTACCATTAATCTAAACATCAACTGATGGAACATCAGAATCAGACCTGAACAGGCTGACGGTCAACATGAAAGAACAGCACAGACACTGGACAGACCCTACAAATGCCTGAGATCTTTTGATCACATGTCCAGTTGAACAGGTTTATTGAAAGAACAGGGATGAGGAGCTAGCAAGATGACACAGGAGGAAAGGGACTGTGTGAGAGCCCAGAGTGGAGGGAATGATAATCGTGGAGACGCAGGGATCACTTGTCTCTACACAGCCTTCACTCTTACAATAGGCAATAAAGTTAGCATGGCACAAACTATTCCAGAAGGTTCTGAGACTTTATTTTCTCTATCAGGTTTTACTCATCTTTAGTACAGTAATCAAATATATACACTGAGAGAAGTGTCATAATAATAAAAAATGGTTAATTTCAAGAAAGATGAATGAAGTTGTAGCTCAGTGGAAACTAAAGTTCAGTCAGGGGTGGAGGTTTGCCAGCCCAGCCTCTGTTGGAGCAGCAATAATGACTGGGGAAGGAATGATGATCAGTGTGTGGATGGGACTTATTGCTGCTCAGGCAGAGCTGAACTCATCACCTGTTTACACTGTGCTCTCAGGAGACAGACACACAGTCACAGTCAGATGCAGGAAGAGAAGTCATTAATTCTTGAAGCCACAGTGTGAAAAGGAGAAAACAGAATAAATCCTGTTAGGCTCAGTCCAACTCTCTTATCCTGTAGAAGAAAAGATCAAGGAGGAAATTCAGATCACTGTCCTAAATGGTGACATTCTGAGCAGCTCATCACACACTCAAACTCCCAATCCCAAGAGTCCCCACAGCTCAGGGTTCTATCCTCTGACCTCTCCCTGTCTCACATTATACCCTTTATGGTATCACATTTTAAAGCTGTAACAGAAGGATGGACATCCTAGAAACTTTACTTCCAAGTAGAAAGTAATACAGGAGCATATCAAAGCCTCTGAAGATGGAAATAATGAGGAGGTATGGGCTGACTGAGAATTTTCATGGAATACTCTCTATACTGCCACTGATTTCTTAGGGATGTGACCCCACTGTAATGACTGGCAAGCCTAACCATAGCTGCTGCACATTTTACCCCTGGAAATACTCCCTTTTATTAGAGGTCATAGAAGCATCAGCATCTACAAGGCTTAGTGGCATCTCCTGGTCCTTATCTGAAGTTTCCAGAACTGTAACTGCAGATCCAGAAAAAAATGAGGAAACCTGATAGTACATCATACATGAGGAGGAATAACTGGACTCCTGGATATGTGTTCTAAGCAGGAACCTTTCCATCTGACCTCTGAGGGCTGCATCAGGTCTCTGCCACCTCTCATTGCCGTGATGAATCTGTTCATTATTTCCTTCACAATAGAGTTAATGTCAGCACATCAGAACAAGACTGAATAAGTAACTGTGTGGAGGAAACTTTGCTCTCATGTGGCAGGGCACACTCTCAGCTGGACTTGATATTGCCATGGAGACTTGAACTCAGACCCTGCCCTTTCCTTACCTTTAGTCCTCCTCTTCCATATCAGAAAAGTCACCACAGCTCCCATAAGCACAGCTCCAAGAACCAGGCCGGTAACAATTGTCATGATGGGGACAGAGGGCCAAGGAGGTTCTGACAGAGAATGGAAGGAACAGTGAGGCTTCTGATGTGCAGCTATCAGTCATGACCCTGCTCCATTTCTCCCAAATACTCCAACTGTCTCTGTGATAGGCTTTGTGCTCATACCCACTCCTTACCCCATCTCAGAGTAATGGGCTCAGGCAGGCCCTCATGATCCACGTGACATGTGTATCTCTGCTCCTCCCCAGAAGGCACCACCACAGCTGCCCATTTCTGGAAGGTTCCATCTCCTGCGGGCCTGGTTTCTATCACCTCCATATCCAGAGTCTGGTTGCTCCCATCTCTCTGCCAGGTCAGGGTGATTTCAGCAGGGTAGAAGTCCAGGGCCCAGCACCTTAGAGTGATTTTCCTATCAGCTCTGACCTTATGGGTCACATGCATTTTAGGGGTATCTGAAGGGAATAAATTAGAAAATTCAGGCTTTTTGCATTCTTCATGAATATCCATCACTGTGCATGTAAGCTTGTTTTGAATGGATGGGAAAGTTGGCTAGAAGAAGAGATGCCAACCCCACACATCAGTCTAATCTTAGGATAAAGATGGGGTAATCTATTCCTTGGAAAATTTCAGAATTAGCATGAGCCAGCACAGAGCAGGAAACTCTGGATCTCCTTCCAGTAATATAGAGTTCTGGTTCTGACTGGATGAGACAGACACTCAGGAGCACTGGGCTCAGACCTCCAAAGTACACGGACAGTGAACAAGCATGACAGGCATCATGGTTCACAAGGCAAATGGAAGGGAATTGCTGTTAAATTGAAAGACTGATCTATCCTGAGAGAAGGCTTAGTTCTGTGATAGTCCCTCTCTCTTGTTCAAGTAGGAAACCTATGGCACTCTTCCCCTTTGATGCATGACTGAGTTAGTATCCAGCTTCTCCCTGCTGAGGAGGACAAGGGATCCAGTCTCAGTTCAGGGTTGGCAGTTCTTTTCTTACCTGTTTTTCGCAAAATCTCCTTCCCATAGACCAGCTGTCTGAGGACCAACTTCACACCTTCATACTGCAAGTAATTCTTCAAAGATTTTGCAAAACTTATCGTCTCCCATTCTTTCCTCACCATTTCCGCTGCCTTGCCAACTGCAGTCCAAGTTCTCAGGTCCTCATTCAGTGCAATGTAATCATGGCCATTGAAGAGTAATTCATATTGTCCATGACTGAAGCTCCCTCCAGGCAACACATGACAGGCCATCAGGATCTGCAGTGTGTGATTTCCTGTCCAAGCCCATACTGTCAGCCACTCTCACAGGGCCAGGTCCCTTGGGGCCCTCCAGTGGCTCAGTCCCTCCCACCTGGCCTTTGTAAATGGCCACATTTGAGCTTAAATTGTGCAGAAAACCAGGTCAGTGTCCCAAGGCTCTTTGTAGCCTAGTCTATGTGGGTCACATTTTGCTGGAGTAAATCTTGGAAATGGGGCCTAGAGCAAAGCCATTGGGAACTTGAAATTTGGGGTTTCTAATTTGGGTTCACTCACCAGCTTCACTTAGATTGTAGATGCGAAGTATTTTCTTCATTAAATTCTTGTATACTTGCAGCATACTCAGCATATTCTCGGTCTCCTTCTCCCAATACTCTGGCTCCTGCTGATCTACCCACGGGGCACAGTGCTCCATCCTCGGAGGCTCCTCTCTGCTGTTGAATCTCTCAATATGAATGTGATTAATGTAGACAGCACAGACGAACTGGGGCTCCAGGAGGTCAGGCCCAGTGAGGAGAGTTTGCAAATAGCGCAGAGAGTGTGAACCTAAGTACAGTGGATCTTTAGATCTATAACTCCCTCCTAGTACCCTATGCTGCTCTCCACTTTTCTCTCAGAAGTGCAGGGAACAGGAGACAGGGGACAAGGGACAGGATATAAAATAAATAAGGGACCAGAAGGTTTTGGCTGTGCTAGGAGACAAATTTTCCTGTGCTGCAGACTCAGGAAGAGGGGTGAGTCCTTTTGTCTCCCAGGTTAGGTCCTTTTCCTCCTGACACCCACACTCACCCTCTGGATGCCTGGTCAGGGCCAAGTTGGCCAGGATCAGCAGGAGGAGAGCCTTGGGAACTAAGATCTTCATCCTGCTTGAAGAGTGGACATTGAGTCTCTGCTAGTGTGTGTTCAGTTTATAATCTTGATATGGATGAGGCTGATTGGCTTCTCTAAGAATTCCCAATGGTAGTGATAGAGAGCATTGTGGTTGGGTCATGGAAAGATGAACTCCTGGAAGAGGAATCTCCTGGGCCCTGCTTACCTGGCTCAGACCCAGCTCTGGGACCTGGTTTCCTAGGAGTACTGTATGAGCACAAGTTGCTTACGTTGGTCATTGTCCATCTAATCCTGGTCAAAATACCTTCTGAGTCCAGCCCAGAAGCCATTGAGTCAACATTTCTCACATCTTGATGTCAGGATGTCTATAAAATCTCAAAAATTGACTGTCCCTCAAAGGTACTTATGCTTGTGTGGATTATATCAGTCCACGTTCACTACATTAGGAACTGAGAAATTTAAAACATTTGCTTCATTGAACATTAATAATAAAGTACATGTAAGCTTAATGTTTACAAAATGAATGGCTATTTTCCAAAATACAATGATATGGTAAAATTAATAGATGTTTCCATCTCTGCCTGTATTTATCCTCAGCTTTCCCACTAGACATATCTTGGATTCTGATTCTCTTTTTTAATATTTAGTTTAATATATGGTGCAGGAAATATATCTTCACAAAAATGTAGAAGGAAAATAGATTTAAGATTTATTTTTATTTTTGTTTATGTGTATATTTGTTTGTGTATGGGTGTGTGAATGTTGGGAGTACAGTAGTCTATGCAGGTCAGAAGAGGCTCTTAGTAACCGTGGAGTAGAAGGGACAGGAGTTGTGAGTTCCCAGATTCTGGGACTCCAACTGTGTTGTCTACAGAGTTTAGCCATCTCTCTACACACAGGGGAGAGTGTTTTTATTTACATCTTCAAATCGTTTTCCTTTTTTCTTTACTTTTCCTTCTTTTTGATGTTGACCAAGAAGTCACAGACATCCACATGGCTCTGTCCCCTGAGTACTGAGATAAATCCATGTCCCACCATACTCTGCTCACTGGAGATGTTTATCTTTGATACTTCACTGGGTTCATTCAGGTGTTACTTACGTTCTGGAACTTAAAAATACCATTGAATCCTTCATAGTTTGCTGCATCCGTGTCCATAGGAGAATCAAGTTCATTGAACACATTTTGTGTTAGGAAATTTTATTTTCGAAATGAGAATATTATTGACTTAGTTCATCAGTGTCATATATTTATATGAGTCTGTATCCTAAATTATTGGTAGATAATGAGTGCAGAGTGGTCCTTATTCACTTTACCGCTCTCATATTCAGGATGAGGCTGACTGGCTTCTCTATGAAATACCAATGGGAGTGACAGAGACCAGAAGTGCCGTGGAAAGATTAACTATTGGGACAAGAATCTCCAGAGCCCTGCTTCCCCACTGCAGATCCAGCTCTGTGCCCTGGTATCCTGGGAGCAGTGTCTGGGGACAAGTTGCTTACCCTGATACTTGTAATTGTCTTGTTGACAACATCCTTTTGGCCCTAGCCCAGATGTTGATCTGGCTGACAGAATCAAGGAAGCAAAGGAAACCAAAGACCTATGTCTATCACTGAAGTGTCCAGTCCTGGTTCACGATCTGGGGGTCCCATGGCCTCGCTGTTATATCATGGTTCTTTCCTGTCAAGCTCAGTCCACCTGCAATAAGTCTTGGATTCCTGGTGATCTTATCTCACAGGAGTCTGAGGCAGGCAAGGAAATTAGGATGGGAGTTGACTGCTGTGTCAGAGGTCATACAGTCCATGTCCACAGAGAATGTAGAATAGAAGAGGCAGGAACCAAGGAGGATAATGTGCTACTGAGAGAACTCTGAAGATTCCCAGCTCAGACATCGGCGCAATATCTCCACATGACACCAGGCTGCTCCTTCCACAGACACCTACACCCAGGCATTGAGCACAATACTCTGAACACCCATGTGGAACCTTCTAAACACATGATATTATCCAGCTTGAGAGTGCAATGGCCACCATTCCATATCTTGTGACTTAGGACCAAGGTGTCCTTCCTAATACCTTCTATTAACTCCTATACAGAGGTGGCCTCCCCTTGTCTCAAACGTATCCACAGAGCCATCGTTCCTTAGTTCTGATCTTATCTTGGTGACAGAGTCTGGGGCTGTGCCATGCAGCAAGTCATATGGCTGCATAACTGTGGCTTGGACAGATGAGAGATGGAAAACAACAGGCATGCTGGATGGGGAGGAATCCTGTACCTGAGACGCCACCTCCCTCTTGTCTCCAGAGGCTGTGAGGTCAGATGTGGCTCAGATTCCATCTCTTGTAGATAGACTTGGTGCTGTGTTCCAGGTGGAGAAGTGGTTCTAGGATTACCTGGGTTAAGGTCCGCTGGCCTGGAATGGACGAGATGTCACACACACACACACACACACACACACACACACACACACACACACACACACACACACAGAGAGAGAGAGAGAGAGAGAGAGAGAGAGAGAGAGAGAGAGAGAGAGAGAGAGAGAGGCATACACACACAGAGGCATACACACAGGAGAAGATCTCCACTATATGAATAAACAACTTGCTTTTCCTTCTCTAGTCTCCAGTTTTAGGGGATCTGCTTCTCAGATTTACTCCTCAATAAGTGATGGAGAATCTGCCATGTGGATCGCCTTGTTCCAGGCCCTGGAAAACAGAAATGAAAAGCAGGCAAAAATCACCATGCTGGGATTTGAAAAGAAGTCTTGCTTATGGCCCTGTCAGAGGAGCAGCAGGTGGCAATGGACTTCAGGGTGTCAGACACTAGGATGAAAATCCCTTATAATCTTGGATAGGAGAGGCCCCCGCACCACAGACTCCAGAATGTCTTTTGCTTCTGCTGTGCCTTTACACGTTTGCTGCTGCCATTCTTCTCTGGTATTTGGCAAGGTGAGAAAGGGTGTGAGAAGATGCCCACTGCCTATAGTGCAGTGTGTTCATCTCTTGGAAACATCCTGTTCTACTGTTCATTTTTACACTATGGAGTATTATGAAGATAATTCCTTCCTAAGCTGTACTGACTAATTGATAATAATAATGTTAGTTTAAATAGAGTTTTGACAGAACACATGAGTTTCTATGGAGGAGTCACATAGACTGCGGCTTAGGGTAATGATTAAGCAAAACAACTGAATCCCGGTATCCCAGCAAGCTTAAATTCTTTTAACCTTTATGTTGGGAGATGTGTTCACAGGTTTCAGAGTGCATTCCTTATCTGAAACAAAGCCTTATAATAACTTCTGGGTAGATCAGATGTTTTGATAATAGCTTTGGGGTGAAAAACCCAAGAAGACAACCTAAAGTTTTAGCAAGGCACATAGTTTTATGAGGAACTCCTTAAGGTCAGGGAACAAGAACAAAGCTGCCCAGTTGTTACCAGCTGACATATCATCCTTGCTAGGATTGGTTGATGATCAAAGGTGGTGATTAGTCCCTTAGACTGATTTCTGCCCTCAAGCTCCTGATATAAGAAAAAAAAAAAAACATTCATGAGTGGGTATGCACCCTAAAGGTTTAAAGTAGAGCTGACTGATTCTTTTTCATGTATAAATGTTTAGGTTTGTGATTCCTTTAAGATTCCTTATAAGATTACCTTTAGGTAAGTAATTGGCCCTTTCTTTGTAACTGTAAAATGCAGCCTGCCAGTAAAAGACCTGACTGAGAAGAATATCTTGCTTGCCTGCTTAGTTAATCTATAACAAACTGCCTGGGTATGAATGTATGTTCTTGGGATAAATTGTTTTTCACCTGTAATACTTAAAATGTTTGATCATACAAGGGATATGCAAAACATGCTGTTTTTTGCTTGTATTCACTGTATTCATTCACTTGAAAAACAGAATATAACCACACTGTAATTTTTATATTTCCTGAAAGATTTTGCTAGGGCATATAAGCTGTGAGGGAAAGAAAATAGAGTTAAAATGAGATAGAAGGGAAATATGAAGAATGAGAGAGTTAGAAGGAAAACATCCAGAATGAGAGAATTAGGAGGAGAGCATCAAGAGGTTAGAAGGAGAAGGAAAACCTCAAGAGAGACAGAGGGGACATTTCCAGATAGCGATAAGAAAAGAGAATATAGAACACAAAATGAAGAATAGAGAAAAAGACGGAAACCATCAAGAGAGACTTGGTTAGTTGTTAAAAGTGCTGACTGCTCTTAAAATGGACCTGAGTTCATTTCTAAACACCCCAACGGGCCACACACAACCTCCTGTTACTGCAGCTCCATGGGATTTGATGTCCTCTTTGAGATTCCACAGGCGTCTCCAATCGATTGGCATGTAGTACACGTGCACAAATGTACACACATGAAAAAACTAAAAATAAACAATAAAAACCAGTGTTAGAGAACAAATTTGTCAAAGACAAATTTGAGTAGTTGTGAAGTTGTCATACATGCCCAATAGTGGTTTATAATATTCTGCTTTTCAATTGTTCTGACAAAACACCATAACCAAAACCAATTTGAGGAAGGAAGAGTTTATTTCATCTGACAAATCTCAGGATTACATTCTATCACTGAGTAAGTTAGGGCAGAAACTTAAAGCAGTAACCTGAAGCAAGAACTGAATCAAAATCCTTGGAGGAATGCTGCCTACTGGCTTGCTCAGTCTGCATTATATATAATCCAGGACCAACTTCTCAGCCTTTGGTACATGAATAGTGAGTTGGGCACTCGCTAACAAATCATTTTTGAAAAAAATGCCCTCCAGACTTGCCTACTGGCAATCTGGTGGAAGCATTTTATTAATTGGGGTTCCTATTCCTAGATAATTCCATCTTGGGTCAAATAAATAAAACTAAAATAAAAGCCAGGACAAGGTTTGAATGATAAAATCCCCTCTAGGCTCAATTATTTGCTCACTTGGTCCCAACTGTTGGTGCTCTTGGGAGAAGTTATGGAACTTCCTGATCTGGAGCCTACCTGGAGGAATCCTTCATGTCCTGCGAATCTTCCCTCATAGCTC